GGGAGTTTTTAGTGCAGGTAGTGCCTTTATCCTTTACTGTCAGGGACACGCTACAATTCTAAAACCAGTAAAGAAAATAACGATTATCCTCTTTCATTCATTTGTTCCTAACTCTCAACATAAAGAACCTGCAGGGTCTGGTAGGTGGAAATTGCTGCAGTTTCTCAGTGAGTTTTTCCATTACAAAATCTTCCAGTCACTTGGGCTTACTACTAAGATGAGGTGCAGAATTCTGAGCCCTGTGCTACCATAAGAGATGGCACAATTCCCCCTGGAAGCAAGGCTAGGCCTAAATGTGTGTAGGTCTCAGGATCTGAAGACTTATGGAAGACAACAGACTGTAAGACAAAATAAGACATTTCTGCATTGAATCCTTTCTTAACCAGCATGTGAATGTCATGAAACGAGTTGTGTTATGACTCATTAATATGGTAAATAAGAGTTCTAATATACTTTCTGTATGACTTGTGCATGTGGAATGAAAATTGCTGTAGGTTTATATACCACTTTAAATATATATATGTTTTTGTTGACCAGGACTGTATGACATTTTTCCCTGGAAAGATATTAAGGGAAACCAGCAAATGTCAGGACTGGGCTCTGGCTTTGCAACAGGAAAACTAAAATGTGAACTTGCCTTGTTTGTAGGGAAGAGAAGATAGAAAGTAAAATTATACAAATTTCAGGGTAAAGAGGGAAAGATGTTGGCAGGACTTCTAATGGACTCATATTGAAGGATTTATCCAGGAGAAAATAAGAGATGAGCATGTTTAGCTAAAGAGTCTGTTCAAGGGCAAACCAGAAAGACACAGGACCATATTCCAGACACAACCCAGTGGGATTAGAACACCTAAAGTGGGTAAAATTTTCAGGGTGTGCAATATTAACATAGACAATAAATGATTATATTCTGGATTACATCCTTTTCTACTACAGGACAACAGTGGCTTCAGAATTCCTAGAAGTGTTTTTGGGTATGATCTCATACGTGTCATGAAAAATCTAAGAAAAAGGCCCAGGATTCCAGAAATTGTTTTTAAACTGGCATGAGATGATAGCTGCTCAGTTGCAGTAAGGCAGCTGAACAGTGGACTCAAGAACAAGGGCGAGAATGCTAAAATATGAAAACCTTCCTTCAAATACATTCCTGAGATGCCAGCCTTGGGGAAATAAACAGATTCCATTCAGCTTCCAAAGGTATAAAGTACACTAGATCCAATGAGTGCAGCCCGAAACTTCAGCATGGTAAGTGGAGATCTCTAACAAATACTATTCGTATTCTGATTTTTAAACTGTTCATGTTTCCAGTTCAAATTGTACCAAGACAAGAGATTCTTTTGAAAAATGTTAACCTGAAATTCCTTTTGCTGAAATACAAAAACAGTACAGCGGTAAGCCACAGTGGGGATTTTTCAGTGTTAGCAAAGCATCTCTTCCATAACCTGAACCTATTATTCTCTACTTATGATAATATCCTGATGCTACAGCTCAACTCCAAACTTCCATTATGAATGGATACATAGGAATCACTACTAAGCAGTAAAGGATTAAGAAACAGTAAATTTAAGGGTACTCACACATTTCGGTGAAGGTGCATCGACCAGTTTATACATGGATTTCATTGGCATGTGCTGCTTCAAGGAACAATAAAACTGTACTTCTACAGGCAGAGGTACTTCAGAGTTTACTAAGATTGGACTGATTATAACCTGAGGAGTTTTGTTCAACTTTTTATGCAAGTCTTCTGCTCCCTGAGATATTTATTTTGATAACGTTGACAAATAATTCAGATACTTATTTTTTTTTAACCTGTCACACACAGCTTTTATTATCTGCAGTCAGAGTATTATAAATTAGTGCATGCTGACCTGGACAGAGGCACAGACCCACAACCTCAGGTATTCCCTTGCTAGGTGAGAAGATACTTCAGGCCAGAAACCCTGCAAGTTGTGCTAATGCAGCCCTATGTCTCAGCTACTATGTGCTGGCTCTCAGATGAATGCAGTTCAATCTGTCTTTGTAGACATGACCTAAAAAAAAAATAAATCTCTCAAAAGCTATGAATATAGATTCAGTGTATTTTTTTTCTTGTGTCAGCTTGTGACCAATCTAAAAAACTTAACACAATCTTCAGAAAAAGTCTGCATCAAAGACTTTCACAGCCTGGGGTATCAACAGCTTACTTACCCTCCTCTGAGGGCAGTCAATAAAAACAGCAAAAAAGACTATTAATAATTTACATTATTTCAAAATATTCCTTGCCCCAGGTAAGTAAAATTTTGCAGAATAAACATTAACCTGAACTTAAATTGAAGTTGAAAGAATGAGATTTTTTAAAATATCTGCACTCAATTGACCTGTGAGTACAGAGAAACGATTAAAGAAAATCTTGCTAACTTCAGCCACACAAAAGACTTAGCTCAACATTGAGATCTTTCAACCATCACATAAGTCTCTTGCGGATAGATAAGCATTATCAGTCCCATAACAGAAACCATTTTCTTCCCACAGAGAGCAGTGTTTATTGTCACTGTGGACACAGATAGTTGCTAAATCCACTAGCAAGCCGAATTATTTCACTATTTCCTTTGTGAACTGGCTGCAGAAGTGTATTATTCGTTTAAACTGTAAATCCTTAAATGTGAAGCTTTTTGTTTATACTAATTATTTTCCAGAACAAACATTTTCTAAAAAACCCCAGGAACCAAACAGGAACCAGTGACTACCTTAACCATTGTCCAGTTCAGAGAAAAAAAGAACGCACCTGTTTAGTATAGAACTTACAATTTTTCTCCATAATAAATGAAGATGACTTTTTTCCTCAAGTAAGGGTTTTGACCAAATCCTGTACTCAATTCATAGCAAGGATAACATGTTGCTTACATAACACATAGCAAGTCACCAAGATATGCAGCAAGTGTTTAATCTTCAGTGGAAAGTCTAGTGGTTAACCATGCAAACAAATTATTTAACATTTTCCTCAGGAATCATTGCATTTCCATCTCCAGAGTGGTTAACATTTGCGTATCATTTCAGTAACACATGGTTATGGTAAGGACATCCAGAGTCTGTAATCCCTTAAAGCAAAAATGTGGAACTTAAAGTAATGCACTTGATGCAACCAGACCAATAAATTTTCCTTCCTCTGTAGATGATCTAACTGAGATGACAACCAGACCTGGAAAACTTACACTCAGCTAAATGAATCTTGAGTCTACAGAATGATTAAATTCAGAAAAAGACTGAGCATACTTTAAGAGCAAAATCCTCCTCTTAAATCTGCATTATAGATTTTGACTTTGACTGGGGCTGTCTACTCTTCCTATTGCTATGAATGTAAACCAAATTTTGCAGTGCACTAAAAATTAAATTGACAATGATCAGATCGTGAGAGAATAGCTCTGATTTTTTTTTTTTTCCCAAAAGAAAGCATCAAAGAATCTGCAGTTGAGTATTTGTTCCTCATCTAGTTGTTTTGTTTTGTTGACCTTTTCTAAAGCACAAATAGATCTAAAAGGTACCACAATGTATGAGACAATAGAAAATAGCATCATTCAAAAAAAACACCAAAAAAACTAAAGGAAGCGACACAGCATTCTCCTGCCTGCATGTCACTGGATTAAAAAAACCTGGCAGCATGGCCAGGCCCAGAGAGTGGTGGTGAGTGGAGTTAAATCCAGTTGGCAGCTGGTCACAAGTGGTGTTCCCCAGGGCTCAGCACTGGAGCCAGTTCTGTTAAATATCTTTATCAGTGATCTTGATGAGAAGATAGCATGCACCCTCAGAAAGTTTGCAGATGACATCAAGTAGGGTAGGTGTGTCAATCTGTTTGAAGGTAGGGAGGCTCTACAGAGGGATCTAGACGGGCTGGATCAACAGCCTGAGGCCAATGGTATGAGTTTCAAAAATGCCAGGTGCTGAACTCCATGCAACACTACAGGCTTGGGGAAGAGTGGCTGGAAAGCTGCTTTGTGAAAAGGACCTGGCAACACTGGCCACTCAGGCACACTGCTGGCTCATATTCAGTCAGCTATCAACCAAGAAGGCCAACAGCATCCTGGCCTGCGTCGGAATGTGTGGCAGCAGGACTAGGGAAGCAATTGTCTCCCTGTAGTTGGGACTGGGCAGACCACACCTCAAATACTGTGCTCAGTTTTGGGCCCCTCACTACAAGAAAAACTTAAAGGTGATGCAGCATGCCCAAAAAAGGGCAATGAATTTGGTGAAGGGACTAGAGAACAACTTTCACAAGAAGTGTCTGAGGGAACTGGGGTTCCTTAGCCTGGAAACAAAGGAGGCTCAGGAGAAACCTTATCACCCTCTACAACTACCTGAAAGGAGGCTGTAACAAGGTGGGGGTAGGTCTCGTCTCCCAAGTGACAAGTGATAGGACAAGAGGAAATCGCCTCAAGTTGCACCAGGGGAGGTTTAGATTTGGTATTACAAAAAATTTCTTCACTGAAAAGGTTGTAAAGCCCTGGAACAGGCTGCCCAAGGAAGTGGTGGGGTCACCATCCATGGAGGTGTTTAAAAGATGTGTAGATGTGGCACTCAGGGACATAGTTAAGTGGTAACCTGTCAGTACTGGGTTAATAGTTGGACTTGATGATCTTGAATGTCTCTTCCAACTAATCAATTCTATTCTATTCTAAAACTTTGCATGATTTATACTTAAAAAAGATAAGGCTACTACAAAGATGTTCTACAGTGGTATATACATTGCAGTGTAATCTGTAGACTTCCTCAAGACAGTATGCACGCTGTCATTAATCTCAAGAGCATAATTTGGCAATGTTTTATTTACAAGCAACAAAAAAAACTCTCTTAATGAGCTTACCAAAATGCTAATGCTGCAATTTCCAAAGATATTCACATAACTCACCCAAATCACAGTGAAACATGAGCACAGTTCAAATTGGCTTTGAACATCTCCCACTCCGAATTCCCCAAATCCCAAAATACACTATAATTCCTCTGCCAAGGCAGGTTTTCATTATTACATTTCTTGTAGAGCTCCTCCATCATTCTCCAGGTCTCATCTTGGACCTCTCGACTGCTTTTACCCAGAACATGTGCATCAGGCCAGTATATTAAATAAAGATCTGAAAAAGAACCAGACTACCCATTAAGGTGTCCTAAAAATATAGATATCAAAACATGTGAAATAGCATTTTCCATCCATAATGGCCCCTAACATATTATCATCAAAACAGTTACAATTACTACCCCATGATCATTACTGTAAACATCTACCTAGTGTTAACAAACAAAGTCTACAACATTTCATCAACAGCTGTGGTGGCAGAAGTTGCACGTGTACCATAGGCTTAGGTCACTGTAATTAGAATTTCATGGTCACATCTGCACTTAAGCTTCCAACACATAACAAGCCCCATTTAAATCAAAGCGACGTTGGTCCCTGGAATTAAGACTGGACTACTGCTAAGAGCTACAGGTCTCCACAATATGAAGATAAATGTTTGGCAGTTCTACAGATATTTTTATACAACCTCAGCAGTAGCTCTTTTTTTTTTTTCCTTTTAAAGAATACGTCTATTTATTAATTTCTATTGAAAATAACAACACATTCTTTCATGTCTTTTTTTTTTTGCTGTAACTTTGTGGCAGCATTTATAATTTTTTTAAAAGCATTTTAAAAAATATTAATTTAAGGGAACAGAATTATACTTTCCTACATTTTATGAAATGTTAGCACAAATTTCAAATGCAATTCAGATTTACTGTTGATAAAATTATCCAAGCAGTTACTGAAATTTGCTCTCTCAGGAAAGAGTTTTTTTTTTTGTGTGTGTGTGTTGTCTCCATGCAACAAGAGACTATCCATCCTCCTACCGAAAAAGGAAGTATTTCCAACATGAATTAAAACTGAGAAATTCACATATATTTTTCTCAAAGTCAGATTACCTACATTTCAAAAAGGGTAGGATTTATAACTCCTTTATAAGCTTATAGACACTGCTTGACGTTCTGTAGGAGAATCTTAGGAGATACTTTGAAAACAATTACATTTCTATTTAAGTTCTAATGGCAGATTAAACAGGTAACTGCAGGCATCCCAGTCAAAGAAGTGTTGGTCTTTGCTGTATATGTTAGTTTGACACAAAACAGGAAAAGGAAATAAATGCATGACTGAGATGTGCACCATTGTGCTTTATAATATTCCTTTTTAAACAGTTCAGAGACAGAGTTAAGAACTAAAAAGCAGACTTGTTTGCAATGAGCAGAGTTTCTCATTCTTTGAATGCATCACACAGTTTATTTACAGCACCTCTTTCTGGAAACAGTTCATCTGCCATAATTTTTGTAATTCACATTTATGGACTGCACTAATGATTACTATAACACTGAGCTGGTATATTAGCTTTCCACCTCTATATAATATAAATTCAACTTCAATTTAAGAAGAAAAAGGTAACACAAAACTCACTATAATACATCATATATGATGATTTGCAGCATTATTTGGCAACTTGTTTATTGTTTGCCCTTCTATGCATAAAATACACTCCTAATTTACAAAAGTGTAAAAAACCCACATGCAGTTTTGTTCATCACTGATCTGCAAATAATTACATCTTCTTTAATTGCTCTGAAGAAAGAAGTGGTATTTATTGAGAACAAATACCGATATAGGTAGGGTATTGGAATAAATAGCAATTTCTGTGACACTGAAATGAAAACTAACATTGGGATATCGGTTCAAGCAGTTAGTAAGGTTATGTTTAAAACTCAGGACTACACTAAAATCTGTTGCCAAAAAAGCATCTTCTAAAATTTCCACATATATTAGCAAATTATTAGCAAATATTTGCATATTTCAGCAACTATTAGCATTAAGAATTGTTGCTATCAAGTGTTCAGTTTGATCCAAAACTATATATGTCATTGGAAGTATTTACTGCATAGACACTACTATGTTTTAATCTAAACTTTTTTGCTTGGATAAAGCAAATGTCATATATAAGTAGGTGTAAGTTTATCTCATGTAAAAACGAAGGATTACATATCTTTAAGTGCTGCTTGTTATGTCCTCCAAGTCAGACTAAAAAGAACTCTTTAACTGTGCAGAAACACATAGGGGGGTTGGAACTAGATGATCTTTAAGGTCCTTTCCAGCCCATACCATTCTATGATTCTAGGAATAAAAGAAAATTCACTTTAGCAGAATTTCACTAAAAGTTACTTTTTCAAAAGCCTGAATATTCAGTTAGGTATCACAGTTTGCAGATGTTCACAGAAATAACTACACGTAGGATTCCACATACAAAGACGCTTTGCACTCAGCCCAAGAAATTGAAGTACTCTCAGAAGAGTGACTTCTACCAGATTTGATAACTGAAAGCCTTGGATGATAACTCTAGCCTTGGATTTTTAGGAAATGCAGTACATCATCCTTCCCCATATGAAGTGTCTGAGACCCCTTCAATGAAAACATCATTAGCTGCTGGTCCTTCTTTTTTTAGAAAAGTGTTATAATGTATGTGATGTCCATATCATCCTATTATGTTTATTTTAATTTAGGCTTTCTGTTGAAAGAAAAATTACTTCACAGTTAGAAAAATACTCTGGACTAGAAAGCATCTAGCTTAGGGCTATAAAGCATCTACTGGATCCTCAAGTGCAGTCCTCCTGACTGCAAGGAAAATTTGTGAAAGATGTGGGGCAGAGGTACCTTGTCCCAGAGATAAGGAGTAGAATGGAGTCTCTGCTAGCCATGCACAAACCGCTCCAGCACAGCTAGAAGCAGAAGGAATACAACGTACCTTGCAATGAGCAATGGAGCTGCCACTCTCTTTAGATAAACTAAGGACACTTCATTTTAAACTAGGATCTGCTTACTGCATGTTAGAAAACTTTCCATAATACCTGTACAGGCAAATAAAACCAGTAAGCACATCACAAAAGAAGGTCTATGATTTCATCTTCATTTGTACACACATTCACACATACATGCTTTCTTTTGCTTAAAGTATTTCCCCTCCTGGGGGATTACAAGAACACACTCTTCATTTTGGAGGCAAGAAATTAGTTTTAAATGATTTATCAAGATAGCTTAAAGTTCTAGTAATCAAGAAATGTGTTACTTTATGACTGGAGGTTTTTAAGAACAGACTACATTTTTATCTGTTGAGAACAATGGTGGTGTTCCTTGTGTAGGATAGATCAGTCAATACTTTGAGATGTCTTTCAAACTTTTTTTTTTTTCCAAACAACCTTAAATCAAAACAAAAAAAGGCCAGTGATTAGCATTATCAGGATGCACTTGACAAAGAGGAAAAAAAAAACTCCAAACATTCAGAATCAAATTTTGCATCTACCAGATTTTCAAAGCATCCTTTACAGACAATCAAACCATACAGTGGTTAGCAAGGGCCTGAACTTCAAATGTCAAAACACAGTACTGCAGGAGAACTAAAATTAACATGTGAACGGCTTTCACACAGACATTTAAAACAGAGTGGCTTATTACTTCTTAGTGGTTACAGCACCTGCAATCAACACAGTTTTTCTTAACTCAAAAGTGCAGGGGCATTTTACACATTTAAAAGCCACCAGCATGTTGTCATGGAAATTAAAGTTTGCAATTCTATTCCAATTCCTAAGACTAAATAGAAAGGGTCAAAAAATAATTAAAAGAAATGTTTTGAAGTACAAGCCCTTTAACACTTCGTTAATCCAAAGTGTTCTGGATTAATAGACAATTTGAACTCGGTGTATTATCATAATTTTTGCAATTCATCTATTACACTGAACACATCAATAGAACATTTGTCCAGGTCCAGTTAAGGATCTGTGACAATTTAGATTTGCCTGAGTGTGACAGACTCATAACAGTCAAAGGGAAAATAAAATTGTTTATGAATTCGGTAACCCATAAATCACATTCAAGAAGTTACTTTGGGGGGTTGATCCAAATCCCAAGGAATGTATTCTGCTGCTGCCAAACCTGTGAGATTTACTACCTTTTCATACTGGTTACTGTGACTGCCAGTTGAGGACCACATTTAGAATATGGGAAAAGCAGGATATCTGTTACAGCCACTGTCCACAAACAATACAAGTTTCCAGCTTCTCATGGATATATAACCTACTGATTCAAACAAAAACCCTGGAACACTGCTCTCCGAATACCATTTGGTCAAAAAGTGGTTACTGAAACAGTTTCATAACAGTATTTTACATGGAACACTTTCTCTTAAAGAGCTGCAATTAGTTCCAACAGTTTGTGTGTTTCAACAGCTGGCATTCTATGCACTGCTAATGCACAGATTTATCAATTCCTGTTAGATTATTTCCTGTCTCTAACTCATCCTGCATGGATGGACTGTAGCCCATAAGGATCCTCCAGAAAATTAACAGGCTCTTCCTTGGAACGAAGAGCTTAGCTGCACATTTAGCTGGCGGGGCTCCCTACAGCTTCGTTTTGCAGCCTTCTGAATGACTAACTTTCCTTCCAACATAAATGTCTAACATCACAAAGGTATTACTTAGGATCCTCCAATTTTCTACATGAACCATCTATCTTTACAGAAATGCTGCAAACCCCCACATATTTGGTTAGTATCATGTAATGAACTCAGGAAATTTCAGTTTAGGTACATTTCACATACCTTGAATTCACATTCCCATTTCAGAGAAAAAGTGCCAGCTTTAACATATGCTTGTAACTGAAGAATTTACTTTTCTAAATAAGCTTGGACACAAATTTCTTTGTTATCACCAGATGTTTCATTATCGTGGATTTCTTATCTTCTGTATGTTATAGACCAGCCAGCTAAAAAGGGACACAAAATGCAGGTATAAACAAAATAGAGCTAGGATATCTAAGCTTAGTTCTGCAAGTTCATAACCATATTTTCAAACCGATCTTCTGCCCTTCAGTTACTTTTGTTAGACTTGGGATAAGCCTCAATTTCCAACAAAAAGCTCTTATGCTAAGCATTCCTGGGACACTTTAAAAGTTCATGCTTCAAGATCGTGCCACTTTTTCCTTGAAAAGCCTTTCAATAGCACTTTCCAGCTGAGTGCTTTCAGACAGGAGATACAGGACTCCCTAAAGCATAATGCTCTGCATGAACCTCATGAAACACACCACATATTGTACCTCCTCTAAGGGTCTACTTCACAGCATACACAGCACTAAACATAGAACTCAATCATATCTCTTTCATACATGAGGAGATCTTACTGTATTTTAAAAAAGTGGTTTGTAAGGTTGAACCAACACAGATTAAATTCAAGCAGCCAAAATCTTTACTCCATTTGCCATTCCATCCTTATTGCAGAGGTCACTTTCCTCACTCACGGATCAGTGAATTGCCTGTGAAGTATTCCCTAAGCCATCACAGTTCACAAATCATCAAGTTAAAGCAAGCTGAAACCAGCCTTGATTTAGGTCACTATGTCAGACTAAGTAGTGGTTCAGGAAGAGCTTTATAAATTTTTCAGACATCTCCTACACCAGTACCAGTAGAAGAAAGGTGGAGAAGCAGGGAAGACAGGTGATGGTATAAAAAAAAAAAAGAAGGGAAAAAATAAATCTGGTGTGGAAGCAAACTGAACAGACCATAGCTATACTCCTTGTTTTGTCTTAGCAATATGAGCAAAAGAAGTCTGAACTGAACATATCTGATGAACTGAAATTCTATTTATGCTAGTCCAATAATTCTCTCACATGGTGACAGTATTTCTTGCTCTCATATTTTTCCCTTGTTTCATATATTTCCACCTAGCAGCAATATTTAAGTGGAGTGTTTGTGTGAGCACCTACTTTAATCAGTCTAGTACTTGAGAAAATAAAAGTAAATTACAGTACACTAAAAGGAATCGCCAAAAATTATTTCCTGGAAGTGAGTCAAGTTTTCGTCTCATCGACATTCAGCAGCAGTGCCACAACAAGCAGAAGAAAAACCAAACACAAAACATAAGAAGCAGAAAGCAGAGAGGAGGAAACATGTTATTTCTTAAATTAAAGCAGAAAGTCAGGGCTCAACAGATTGTTTATGAAAGTCTCTTTGCAATGGCCTGTACTTGTATGTCACAGATTTTTATTGATTTTGCATTCTGCTGTACCCAGGTAGGAAGTTAAGGAATACATTTCCAGAAAGAATGGAGTCAAAGAAACACATACAAATCTCAGTATCTTAACAGATACAGTTTCTTTTCCCTTCGTCTTGCAAAGTACCCAAGCAAAAAAAAAAAAAAAAAATCAACAGTATACACAGCACACAGCTGCCACTAATATTATATCCCATTAATTCTGCAAAATCTGTACTTTGTAAAAGCTATTAATTTCCTCATTAAAGTTTATTTATTGGTAACAGTGGGACAGGGTGAGAATAGAAGCATAATCCAGAAGTAATTGACCTAACCATCAGACATTATCAGCAGAAACACTAACTCCTAAGGCTAATTCAGTGTTAGATTCAGTCATCTGAAGTCTTGTAGATACTTCTAACATTCTCCACGAAGCATACTGCGTCAGACAGACCAAACCAAAATTCAGAATTTTTATAAGTTCAACATAAGTTTTTTCAAAAATAAATTTTAGAAAGGACTCCCATTCCTTGATATATAACAAACCACAGAAGAAATTAGGCATTTTTGTCACCCTGTTACCAATAAATTATTGTAAAGTTTAAGAATCCTTGTTTCATAGGTTTGGGGTGTTTTTAGTAATATACCTAAGGCTCATGTAGTGGTCCCTCAAATCAATTTAGCAATGAAATGTACCTTTAAAAAAAACATACGTTGATCTGTTTTAAAACATTTGTGACAAGGAGAAAGTCTGTGCTCTCAACTACATGCACATGAACTTCCTAGAGAACAAACAGAACAAGAAATCTGCAAATGTGTAAATAAAGGCAGAGTTTGGTTTCTTTGATCTATCTGCACTACATAATTTTCTTCAGGAATTCATCCATCTTTGCAAATACTCACATGGAAGGTGCAATAAATGAACTCTCTGTAAAGATTCATACCAAGATATTCAACATCAAGTCTTTCACATGACTCCAAGCAGGCCTTTTTTTGTTTCATAGCCATAGTCACTATGCCACAGTTTGGTAGTTATCCAGAGGTCCTCTCTCTTCACACCACTCTCTTTGATGGCTTTTTGGAGGAGCAATTCACTGCCATATCTTTTTGCTGTGTCAATATGATGAATGCCATATTTTTGTAATGCATGGACCACAGCATCATGGGAGTAGCCACCTTGATGGGAAGTACCTGAAACAAAATCAGAAGTCAGTTGTCAGCAGTGGATTATGAGGGAGATTTTTTAATAATTCTTTTTAATTTTTGTTTTCCTTTTTTGTATATTGTCACAGAACCTTCTTATTCAATTTACATTTCCTAATAGTAAAGAAATAGGATCTGACAGATCTCTAGGCTGGAAAAATACCTAAAGTGCTAGAAAGTTGATGGTGATCCAAAATAACTCCACTGATATCAAATATCAACAGCATTTAACCGTAAAGCAGTGATTTTGGAAATCAGGCTGAAGAGAAACAGAAAACACATACTTTATGGAAAATTAGTATATGGCACTTAATTTTTGTACAGGAGCACAACATGTACAAATGAAAGTATTTTTAAAAATAAATAAAATAACTTAAAAAGCTATTCACTTTGCAGAAAGCATATCCTGAAACCTCTACTCTGTTGAACTGATAGCTTCAAGTTATTACTGCATGGTACAATCCCAGAGTGGGCCATACCACAGGTGCAACTCACATAACATCAGGCTCAGCAGCAACCTAGACAATGGAACCCTACACAAGAGTCACAGAACAGGCATACAGGGATTTTCAGTAACAAAATACTCTCTTATTGTATAGGTATTCAGTGGATGTGTATTTTGCATGTCAAGAGGACGGAAGGAGGAGGAGACTCGGCAGGAAAAGCAACCAGCAGGAGGACTGTCAGATAAAGAACTTTTTGAGAGCAAGGAGGATGATGTTTCTACTTACCCTTTCCTGTTAGTTGTTTTTCCTGCCATAAGCCTCTCACCCATTCACCCTCACACACTTCCCACAAACAGTATTTTCTACAGTTTGTTGGAGGAAATGCTCAGTCAGTTCCAGTCAGCTACTAAAGCCACCATCTGAGATGATGATTAATACTTAAAGGCCCTAGTGCTATAAACAATAGTTGACATGTAAATGGCTACATCACTAACTTCAGAAGGGCCCTGTGCAATCATGACAGTTGACAGCAACAGGGTTTTCAGCCACTACTGAATCTACATAAATAGAAGACTCCAGGTCAAAGAAGAATAATACAAAGTGCAATTTGTATCTGCTGTTATCTTTCTGTTCCCCTCTAAACATAACATTTATTTCTACATCAAATGCTATCTGTGTGTTATGAAATTAACAAATGTATATGACCACCAGACTGACACAAAAATGAGCGAATGACTGAAAACAAATGAAAACTCACAGTTACCTTAGACTCACCCTTAGAACATCCCATACCTGAGCTGGAGAGAGAACACCCATGGGAGTTAGCACAGCTTTCACACACGCCATAACATGATGCATAGACTCGTTTTGGTTGGACAAGACCTTTAAGATCATCCAGTCCAAGCATGCAAGAAAGAGAACCTGCATAAACCCTACTTGCATGTAAGGTAAGCCAGGCTATCCTAAATGCTCATCATTTTTCTTCATTCCTCAGCTTATAGGGAAAGCAAATGATACCTTCATAATCTTGTTCAAGACCTCAAGTTATTTTAAATAAGACATAATATGGTCTGACATCACATACATACACATGAGGCCCAGGACATTCTGCTGATCACAATGGGGCAATCCTCACTTTAATAGCTATGAAACGTGGAGTATTGAATTCTTGATTTATCTCCATGGATTGTGAAGTTATGAAATCATAAAATTATTAATATATATTAATTATA